ATTGTTGTTTGGCGGGTCCGGGCTGGGGATTCAAACCTGCCACCTTAGGTGTATGTGGCTGGCGCCTTAGCCGGTTGAGCCACAGGCGCCGAGCCACCCGGCTATTTTTTTGGTTGCAGCCGTCATTGTTGTTTTGGCGGGCCTGGGCTGGATTTGAACCAACCTTAGATGTATGTGGCTGGCGCCTTAGCCACTTGAGCCACAGGTGCCGAGCCCCCCTTGCAATTCTATATGAATTCGAAGATTGGATTTTCCTTTTCTTTTGCAAAAAATGGTTGGTGGAATTTTCATAGAGATTGCACCGAATTTGTGGATCGCTTTGTGTTGTGAACTGAACTGTATCCTCCCAAAATTTGTAAGTTGAAGCCCTAGCTCCAATGTGACTATATTTGGAGAAAGGGCCTTTACGGATTACATTTAATTAAAATTAAGTGAAGTCATGGGGTGGGGCCCTAATCCCACTGGACTGGGGTCCATGTAAGAAGAGGAAACAACGCAAGAGATTTTTCTCTCCCTCTCTGCTCATGCTTAAAGGACTGGCCACGTGAGGAGGGAGAAAGAAGGCAGCCATCTGTATGCCAGGAAGAGAGCCCTTCCCAGAAAATGAACTTGCCAGCATCTTATTCTGGGACTTCTAGTCTCCAGAACTGTGAGAAAATAATTTTTGTTGTTTAATCTGACAGTGTGTAGCATTTTGTTATGTCAACTCTACCAAACTAAAATGGTTTGCATGGTATTGCCATCTTTACAATCTAAAGACTCCAATCCATGAACGCAGATGTCTTTCCATTTAATTATATTTTCTTTAATTTCTTTTTCGCAATCTTTTGTAGTTTTCAAGTTATATGTTTTTACCTCCTTGATTAAATTTATTCTTAGCTATGTTTTCCTTTAAAATTATATTGTAAATGGAATTGTTTAATTTATTTTTCATATTGTTCATTGCCAGTGTATACAAACAACTTATTTTTGCATGTTGATTTTGTACCCTGCAATTTTTCTGAACTCATGCATTGGCACAGTAATTTTTCTGGCAGCTTCTATAAAATTTTCTGCTTATAGAGGCTCATGTCATCCGTAAATAAAGGTAGTTTTAACTTTTCCTTTCCAATTTTAATGCCTTTTGTTTCTTTCTGTTACCTAATTTCTGTGGCTAAAAATTATAGTACAATGTTGAATGGTGGTGGTAAAATTAGCCATCTTTGTCTAGTTTCTAACCAGTTAGTTTGAAAAGAAGTATCTCAGACTTATTCTCCACTGCAGTGTACATGATATCCTGGTGATGATGTTGCCAATAATACAAAACATTAGTAATAATGACAGAGTTGGAGATCAGAAAACAGCAGCCCAAAACGAAAGCCTCAGAAATACAAGTTTTTCTCTGACCTCCTGTCCTCCCGTCTCTCAGTCCTCTTCTCCACCAAGGCTAATCATAGAAACTAGAATCTAGAAACTAGAATCTTCCCAATGGGGAGTCATAGACATCGGAACCCCTTTTCCCAAAAGCCAGTCATAAAACCTGAAATTATTCAGTGTAAAAATTGGACATAAAAAAATTTGTCTCACCTACTTTGATTAGTCGACTGTAGGTCATAAGACCCCCATTCCAGAGCAAGTCCTTCCCCACAGCCAGAAGGGAGGAAGGTTGATCAGAGAGTGCAAGAAAAATCTCAACAGACAGCTCTTGCTGAGTTTCCCCACTCAGCCTACTAGCATTAGATCATCATACTCATTATGCACAACCATATTTATACACACTTGTCTCTATTTTATTGGACCTAAGCATAAAAATGCACAATTTCTCTTCTATCTTCTGGTTTTCATTCTCAAGGCTCCCGTGTACACACGTTAAATAAAATTGTGTGCTTTTTCTCCTATTAATCAATCTGACCCACGTCAGTGATTTTCAGTGAACCTTCAGCTAACCTTTGAGGGTAGGTGAATTGCCTCAAGAGGCCCGGGAAATCTGCGCGCGTCTCCTTTAAAAAGAAGCGAAGCCACGCCTCCCTTGGAAATTTGGACGCTGATTGGCAGAGGGAAGGAAGGACACCCCAAGTTCCACCCGGATTCAGGTCAGAAACTCCATTCATTACCCAGAAGGCACTGCCTGGAGCGTCGCAGGCAGGCGCTGGGCAACAAGGAAGAACGGAGGGGGCGTTCCGGGTGGCAGCGTGGGCGGGGCTTCGGTGTGGTGTGTGCGCACGTTTTTGCGTCTGCTGTCTTTACCTGTGAAGGGCGGGCTGAGGTCGCTTCCCAGGCTTTGCAGACTGAGCAGAGCAGGACAGTGAGAACAGGACCCACTTACACGCTTTTACGTTAGCCATGATCCCACCCCAGTGGGGTTGTCCGCTGAGCGCTCTCCGGGATCTTGGAGCCGGGCTTCTGTCCTAACAGCGCCCAGAGGCAGAGCCTTGAGCATTGGGACCGTTTCGTACCGCGGAGACTGAGTCCGACGCCACCCGGGGCTAGAGTGAGGGCGGCTGGGCTGGCCGTACTGGCTTATGTCGCCTCCACTCATGCCCTTGCTCCGCTCCCTGGGTCCCATGGAGACGCCGGTGTTGGTGAGTGGGGTGTTCTGCAGGCCCACGCGAGCTCGGATCGCCACCTGCACGGTCCCTCTGCTGTGATAGACGGGACGCCAGGACTTTCCCTCTGGATGCCCTTGGATCTGGAGATCCCGGGGGACAGGGGCCCTGTCACTTCCAAACCAGGGTCCTGAATTCAGAGGTTTCAAGGAGAGGTCTCCATTTCGGGCTCTACCCACTTTGAGCTCTTCGCCTCGCTGTTCTTGGCCTCCTTTCCCTCCAGTCTACAATGGAATGTTAATCATTCTGTTGCGGGACTGGAACGGGTACTCGTGTGGCCCATGTCCTTCAGTGCTCAGAGAGCATCGATACCATTTCTGGGGAGGGACCGCGCAGGTCCTGCATTTATTACCACAGGGACTCACTTCAGCAGGAATCTGACCATAGCTGAAAGCTGGGAAAGGGTATGAGAGCCTCCAGGGCAGAAGTGAGGTGGCAGCAACATTTTTAGGATTGCTTCTCTTGATAGGAATAGAAGTTTTCCCCACAGTCTAGAATATCATTGGATTTATCTTTGTGAATAAAGTGAATTTGGCTTGCCATTTAGTGGTAAACCCATTTTTCCATTTAACACATTTGCTTGCATTTGAAAAGCGAATTCATTACACTATGTATTATTGACAGGGAACAGGAATGTGTGTCTCTTGGAATGTATGCACACAACAAGCCCCAAGTTACTCCCAGCATGTCACCCTGTTTAGTGATCATAGCTGATCACCTTCAGGACTTGTCTGATGTGTTTTCTCAGACCTGGTCTGCTCTCTGACTTCACTGTAGCCTTGTTCCAGGGTCCCTGCAGAGAGGTCTTCCTTGGTTGCCTCATCCTAACCTTTGTGGCTGGGTCACTTTTATTATGTTCTGATGTTAGTTTGCTGGTTTATTGTTGAGGATCCCAACCTCGGAATGAATGCTCTTATTCTCTCTTTTTATCCTCAGGCCTAGAACAGTTCTGCGCCTTGTACCACTTACTCAATAAGTGGTTGATGAATGAAAGACTCCACCAGGGGTGGGGAACCTGTGGCCTTGGGGTTGCATGTGACCTTTGAGATCCTTGATCCTTTTAACTGAATCCAAATTTTACAGAAGAAATCCTTTTAATAAATAGATTTGATCACAAGCTGTCAAGGACAATGTAGGCTGTGGTTTTGAGCAGCTGGCTGCAGCCTTTACCAGGATGTCTGTCCTGGGTGTGGATGGGGTGGTGGGATAGGCTCTGGTACTTATGTAATGATACCTTAGGGAAATGTGACAACAGTGACTCAGAAGGAGAAAGAACAGGCTGATAGTTCATTGTGGAATCTTCCAGGGAGTCTGCAAGTCCCAGCTATCGGTTGAGGGCAGGGAGAGCTTGTCTGAGCCCTTCTAGAACCCAGGCAGTTGGCACCTCTTCAGGTGCTTCTTCTGGGAGGCAGGTGATGAGACAGCTCTGCTCTTCCTCCCATGTCTATGGAAATATTTTCAGGAGTGGGTGATGTGATTTCAACTGTAAAAATTACTGGACTTGCTTCTTGCCCTTGTCCCTGAGTTGTGGTGGAATATGGGGCCATATTCTGTGGGCCAGAGGGACCCGGATTCAGATCTGCCTCTGCTCATTAGACACGTAACTCTGAATGACTTGACTTTGAGCCTCAGTGTGCTGATTGTGAAACAGAGATGATGATGGCATTACCTCAGGGCTGTGGGACAATCAGTAAAACCCGCAGACAGGGTGCAGTGTTTGCGCTATGAGCATTTTCTCTGCAATTCACACAACAGCCTGTGAATCAAAAACTTATTGTACTGATGTGGAAACTGAGGCTCAAAGAAATTAAGAGACTTCCCCAGGGTCACCCATCTGTCACCTGTTGGTTCAAGAGGCTGGATTTACACCCCAGAAGTGTGGTTTCAGGCCTGGAGACTTGAGTTGCTTTCACACATCATGGAAGGCCCTCAGGTACAGGCAGACAGCAGACCAGTGAGCCTCAGCTGCTGCTGCCACTGTTGTTTAGATTATTATTTTTTACCTACTTTTCTGACATTTCAGAGAATTTAATGTCTTCTCACAGTCCATATGGGATTATCATTGTCTTTATGTCACTCTCTGATGGCTTCTCACAGAAGAGGCTTTTCTCTCCCACATTTTTGTATTCTGTCAAAGGCACCATCTGCCTCCCAGAGCTAAGTTCTCAAGAGATGCTCAGTGGTTCAGGCTTTAGGCATCTCTGTACTTTTGCCAGTAACCAAGCATAGGCTCTAATTCCATCAAATAGCTGCACCAACACCCCCATCACCTCTGTTTGACTTTCCAGGCTTTGGTATCATTTGAAGATGTGGCTGTGACCTTCACTGGGGAGGAATGGGGGCACCTGGACCTGGCCCAGAGAACTCTGTACCAGGAAGTGATGCTGGAGACCTGCCGGCTCCTGGTGTCACTGGGTAAGGCCTCATTCTCTGCACCCTCTTCCTCTAGGCATGGCTGGTTGAGAAGGCCTCAGGAGCCCACCTTCCCTTTTCCCAGCAGCCTCAGTGCATTGTGGTTTCCCTGTGTCTCCATCAGGGATTATTGTGTAAGGAACTAGTCCTTCTCAACACTTTCCTTCCAGAGGCACAAGCTGGCCTCATCTGATGTCCTTGTCCTTGGTTGAGTCAAATGTCCTCACAGCCTAGTTAGCAGGACCTATGGGTTATGGGAGGTTCTCTGAGAAGGGAGTGATTAGACAGGCAGTAAGAAGGTATTGTCACCAGAACTACTGATACCTTTCTAAGCAGCACAGTCTTGGCTAAGGGCCTTCTTTGACCACTGGCACCTGCACAGTTCAGTGGATGCTTATTTCCCTTTGGCTTGTGCTGGCTTCTCTGCTGGTCCAGGAGGTGATTTTCAAGGGTGTATAGATACACCATCAAATGATATTGATGGGCAAGTAAGAAAGCTGGGGCTTGGGAAGGTTGGCGGCATATTGTTTTATTTCATTTTTGTTTTTTGCTTTCTCTTTCCTGCCTCTTGATTATTGAGTCTTAGTGCTTAACAGTCCCATAGCCATTGGCTAAATTCTTCTTCAGCAGAAGACTAGCCTGCTAGTCAGACAACAGGCGCTTGCTGGGACTTAATACTGTTATTTTGGTTTCATCATAGTACCTTTCATTTACAGCACGTGAACTAATAACTGTAAAGCACTTAGAATAGAGTAGGAAGTAGTGCTATCCATGTATTTGTTACCAAAGGAATAAATTCCAGATGTTCTCCCATCTGAACCTTTGCTGGCTAGTTTACCTAGCTCACTTTCCCAGCTATCCAAATGTTGCCTCTGACAAGGCTCTCCCAAGGTATCAGTCATTGGTGAAGTAAATACAATTTTATTTTATGACAGTTGCATTAGTTGTTAAAGGAAATGTGTGGGGAACAGCCTTCCAGGTGGTGGGATCAACACAAGCAGAGCCTCTGAGGGGGCAGGGAGCTTGATTTCTAAACAGAGATGAAGGACAGTCTGGCTCACTGTTCCCACTGGCCCATCACTGAGCTCAGTGCCAGGCAGATGGCAGGCATCAGCAAACATTTACCAAATGACAACTGGATGCATTTGGCCTGCGGGACAAGATTTTCCATTGATGTCTTTGTGGGTGGTGGTGCCTCAGTCATTGACTTCTCTCCAGAGTCTTAACTTTTTAGCCTTCATATTTGGCGAAATGTGTCTGGCTACATGTAACAAAAGACTACTTTATACTGGTTTCACCCTGAAAAAGATGTATTATTTTGCTTAATGAGAAGCCCAGAGGTGGTGCTGCTTCCCAGGTTGGTAGATGCCAACCAGTGCTCTCTGCCTGCTTTCTCTCCTCAGCCAAGGTCATCAGGCCAGAATCCTTGCAGGGACCACAGAATGATGCAGCAACAGCGAGGGCCCAGGCCCCAACTTTCAGCTCTGTCCTCCCAATATGGATCAGAGGCTTTTTCTTTAGAATGGGTACTAGCTCAGATCACCTACCTCAGACAACTATCAAATTAGTTGATTTAGTCCAATGTTTTTTTAACCATCCCCTGGGCACCAAAATCACCTGGGGAGCTTTAAAAAGTACCAGTTGGTCCTTGTGCTCAGAGATTTGGTTTATTTTGTTCTGTTTTTGGAACCAGCATCACTAGGTAATCTCAGTGCACAGGGAGATTTAATCGTACTGACTTAGTTAATTAGAGAATATCTCGCAGAGGGTAGAGGGATGGTTCCTCTTTCTAGGGTTTCGTGACAGTGTGCTAAAGGTATATACTCCTTTAAACTTGAGACTTTTCCTTTTGTCTTTGCCTGTTTACCCATGTTCCATTTATTTCTCCATGCACAGGGCATCCTGTTCCCAAAGCAGAGCTGATCTACCTACTGGAGCATGGGCAGGAGCTGTGGACAGTGCAGCGAGGCCTCCCCCCAAGCACCTGTCCAGGTAGGTGGCTGTGAGTCTCACAGTGGGGCCATGGCAGCCTGCAGACTACCAGGGGATCACTGTGTCTGCAGTTCCATGGGTGGCAGCTTTTTGTGGTCTGGGATATCATGGAGTCCTTCGAAACTGGCGTCTTTCTATCTTCTTACCCCCCAAACACAGTTTTACTCATGTTAGAATATGGTATCTTAGATAGAGATAGACTCTGGGATTTAAAGATTTGCCACTCCCTGTGACTCCCCAGCCTCATGACCCTGGAGAAGTTGTGTGATCTCACTGTCTTTGGTGTTCAGGTTATGCTGAGTTAAAGCTAACTGCTCTGGATAAACTCCAAAATCTTGGTGACTCAAGAGATTGAGTCTTTGTTTCTCATTCATGCAATAGTCTCCCATGGGTCAACAGGAGAGCTCTGGAGCACATATTTATTTGGGGATCAGGTATATTCTATTGTCAATAGGTGGATTTAAGGTTGCCCTGGCTGGGGGAATAGCAGAGAAAGGCATTTGTCACATCTGTTTGTGCACACACTTCACTTCCACACTCATTTCATTCATGGGAGCTGGGTGTTAGGCTGCAGCTGGGGAAGAGCTGGGAAATGGGGTTTAGCCTCTTTGTGCTTGTGCAGAAGAGCCCATGGGTATAGTGAACATATACACAGTCTGCTCGACTCAGCCGGCATGTGAAAGATAATGAGAATAGATTCTGCATCATTGGGTTGTTTGGGAATATAATTATATAGCAGATAATAGGAAACTGCCTAGCATGCTGTCTGACCCAAAGGGGCTCAACCACACTTACCTATTAGTAATATTCATGTATTACCAGTTGTAACAAATAGTGATGACTTAAACCTCCTTCCAGCTTCAAAAGAGTCAGTTCTTTGCTTGCAGATTACTACTTCCAACTCTAGTCTGCACCCCACCTTTTCCCACCTTCATCCAATCATTTACTGATCCATCCATCCATGCCTTCATCCTTCCGTTTGTCAGTCAGATGCTCAGAAGTACTCCTAGCCCTGCTGTCTTCTTGCCCCCTTGTCTTGTAAAACCTCAAGGTACCATTTGCCTTTGTCAGTCTCACAGCTGGGCCACCAAGGGCAGCTGGAGCGGTTGAGTATGTGGGTAAATACTTTGCAGGCTCCTCATCTTGCCCCTCTCGTGTTCCTCCAGGCTGCTCAGCCAGCCCTCACCCCTCTTCCCAGTTCTACATCTTCACTGAGTGTCCCAAAGGCCCCTCACAATCAGCAGCCTAAGAAGGGCCTCATGATCTCACCCACTCCTTTCATCTCCCCATTTTCAATTGAAGGCCTTTTCATCAAGTGGGGAAGGCTAAAAACTAACTTGGACAACACCATCTCTGTCATACCCAATATCCAGCCATCCCCCAATCATGACTATTTTACATCATTCACATCTCCTGAACCCATCACCTTCACCAGTTCCAAATTATTCTCATCTTGCCTGCATAGTTCTAACAAATTCCTAGCTGATTTCTCTGTCTCCTCTGTGCCTCTGTTCAGCCCAGTGTGTTACATTCTCCCTGTCCACTCATATGTCCCAAATATCATCACCTTTCTTACCACTGATGTCTCAGGATATGACCTTCCTCATGTTCAAAGTAAAGCTACACTCTTGTTTTTCTTGCTTTTTAACCCTTATGGATTCATCCGCATCTGACTCATCCCTGTAGCTTCCTTCATAGTTCTATGGAAGAGTTTTTGTCCCCAGCGATGGCTAATTCTCCCCCACAGAATCTGGATCACACCTTCTCCTGCCTTACTCAAGTGCGTTATTTACTGCCGTGTAACAGCATTACCACAACACTGCAGCTTAAAACATCCCTCACACATGATTTCCCATCTGTGGGTCAGGAGTTCAGGCACAGCTCAGCAGGGTCCTCTGCAAGGCTGCAGTCACAGGCGGCTCACAGCCTGTCTGCTCACCTCTTCAGATCCAGCAGCTGTGAGAGACTGCAGCAAGATGGGTGCTACAGTCTTGTCATTGTGTGCATTCTAACACCTTTGCAATCTTCTGTTATTTAGAAGCAAATCAAAGTCCCACCAACATTCACATGGATGGTATCATGAAAGGGAGTGAAGACCGGGAGAGGGCTCACAGGAAGCCAGGTGTGAGTCTGCCTGCTGCGTCAGAGCACGTCCTTCTCGCTTGCTAAATCCCTCTTCCGTATTGTCATCCCTGCCTAATCAACATTAAAGAAAACATGCAGAAACATAAAACTAAAAAATGCTCTTACCTCTCCAGCAGCATCTGAGTATCATGGATTCTGTCTCAGCTGAACAACTTAGCTCATTGCAAGGGTTTTCTCATTTTTAGAGGACGCATTTACATAGGACCTCCCCTCTAGTATTTTTTCCTTCGATTTTTATACTGGGATGTAATTTACACATAGCGAATGTACAAATCTTAAAGTTTTATCTCTGTGAAGTTTTGCATATACAGGGTATCCATAAAGTTCGTGTGCAATTTAAATTTAATGTATGTTCCCAACAGAAATGTAAGTTTACATCCAACAAAAAATATGATAAAGAATATTAAAATTGGCTGGCGCCTGTGGCTCAATCGGCTAAGGCGCCAGCCACATACACCCAAGGTGGCGGGTTCGAATCCCCAGCCCTGGCCGCCAAACAACAATGATGGCTGCAACCAAAGAATGGCCGGGTTTGTGGCGGGTGCCTGTGGTCCCAGCTGCTTGGGAGGCTGAGGCAGGAGACTCGCTTGAGCCCAGGAGTTGGAGGTTGCTGTGAGCGTGATGCCATGGCACCCTACCCAGGGGGACAGCTTGAGGCTCCATCTCAAAAAAAAAAAAAAAAAAAGAATATTAAAATTTGGGGGCAGTGCCTATGGCTCAGTGAGTAGGGCACTGGCCCCATATACTGAGGGTGGCAGGTTCAAACCCAGCCCCAACTAAACTGCAATTTAAAAAAAAAATAGCTGGACATTGTGGTGGGCACCTGTAATCCCAGCTACTCAGGAAGCTGAGGCAAGAGAATCACCTAAGCCCAAGAGCTGGAGGTTGCTGTGAGCTATGACACCATGGCACTCTACTGAGGACAACAAAGTGAGACTCTGTCTCTAAACAAAAAAGAAACATTCAAATTTAAATTGCACATGAACTTTATGGGCACCCTGTACATAAATCAGACAAATCACCACCAAACCATCACACAGATCAAGAAATACAGTACTTCCAGCACTTCCTTGTGCTCCCTCTTTGTAAATATCTCCTTCTACTAGACCAGTGTTTTTCAACCTTTTTTTATCTCATGGCACACTTGAACATATAGTTAAACTTCCACACAACACTTAAATTATGTTGGTCAAAAAGAATATATTTACTATGCTTTCAACTTCTTTCAAAAATAATTTAATGATCTGTAAAAATGTTCAGGGAACACATAAGGTCCTCTCATAGCACACTGGTTGAAAAATCACTGTCCTAGAGACCAGTGTTTACACTCTATTATCATACATTAGTTTGGGGGGGAGGTTTCAGGGTAACAAAGAGAGATTTTATTTAGGAAGAACAAAGAGAAACTTTAGAGCACTTCCAAAGAGAGCTGGAAGTGGGTCCCTCTCATGAAGGAGAAAAGGTGAGAGGGACCCAGACATTAGTTTTGAAACCATAAAAATAAAACCCCATACTCCATCATGTCTGTCATCTTCATAACTCAAATTCATTAACATGGTGCATATAGTTGGAGTAAATTCATTACTATGTAATCACTTAAATGAGTAGACTACATATACCCATTTTTCTATTGATGGATGTTTGACTTAGTCTCCATTTTTGGAATGTTATGAAGACTACTGCTATGAATATTCTTGATCATATTTTTTCTTGGACATAAACTTACATTTCTGTTGGGAACATACAAGTGGATTGGCTAGATCATGTGTAGGTATGTGATCAACTTCAAACAACTGTAATAACAAGAATAGCTAGTGCTCTGCAATTTACTGAACATTTATTTATTCTTTGCCATGCAAATGAGTGGTTTACATCCTTTTCTCATGTTAATGCTTAAAACAACTTGTAAGGCAAGAATTGAGGGTTACCCAGTTTTTCAGGTGAAGAAATTGAATTTTAGGCTTGGTGCCTATGCTCAGTGGTTAGGGTACCGGGCACATAAACCAAGGCTGGTGGGTTTAAAACCCACCTGGGCCTGCTAAACAATGATGATAACTACAACAAAAAAAATAGCCAGGCATTGTGGCAGACACCTGTAGTCCCAGCTACTTAGGAGGCTGAGGCAAGATAACAGCTTCAGCCCAAGAGTCTGAGGTTGCTGTGAGCTGTGACACCACAGCACTCTACCAAGGGTGACATAGTGAGACTCTGTCTCAAAAAAAAGACATTGAGTTTCAGGAAAGAGTGCCAGCATGATTAGGTTCTGGTGAGGGCTCTCTTCCTGGCTTACAAATGGCCGCCTTCTTGCTCTGTGCTCACATAGCCTTTCCCGGTGTATTCACACAGGGACAGAGAGTAGAGGGACCTCTCTGGTTTCTTCTTATCAGGACAGTAATCCTCGCACAGCTGGGGCCTCACCTTATGATCTCATGTAACCTTAATTGCTTCCATAAAGGCTCTATCTCCAAATGTAGTCAGATTGGGAGTTAGGGATTCAACATATGAATTTGGGGGGAACACAAACATTTAGTCCATAACAGAAAGCTAATTTGCCAAGAACATTCAGCTTGGCAGAGGCAAGATTTGAAACAAGGTAAGTCTGGCTCCATACCCTGTACTCTTAACCACAATGCCCTACTGACTTTGAACTCAGCAAAAGCTCTTCTGCATTATTATGCTGGAGCTTTTATAGCATTCGCCCTCTTGTTTTCTTCTTCCCTTTTCTGTCTTAACCTTCACTGTTGTCATCTTACTCTGATAACTTCTTCAACATGGCCTTCAGCAAACATCTCAGAGCCCTTTTTATTCTTTTTTTTTTTTGAGACAGAGCCTCAAGCTATCCCCCTGGGTAGAGTGCTGAGGCATCACAGCTCACAGCAACCTCCAACTCCTGGGCTCAAGCGAGTCTCCTGCCTCCGCCTCCCAAGTAGCTGGGACCACAGGCGCCCACCACAACGCCCGGCTATTTTTTGGTTGCAGCTGTCATTGTTGTTTGGCGGGTCCGGGCTGGGGATTCGAACCCGCCACCTTAGGCGTACGTGGCTGGCGCCTTAGCCGGTTGAGCTATAGGCGCCGAGCCAGCCCTTTTTATTCTATGCACTTTCTCTGTATCTGCTCACTCGTATTTATACTGTAAACTTCAACCCAAGTGTGGTAGGTCCCATAATATAGACCCAGGGATAATATTCACTGCTTGCTAACTTGGTGCCCAGTGCCTTATTAAGTGCTATATATGAGCTGTTTCACTTTATCCTCAACACAGTCTTTTCAGGAAACCTCACAGAATTTGAGTGGGTCAGTAAAGGCCACAGAGTTAGTGCAGGGCATTGGTGGAATTTCAGGCTGAGGTGTTTGTTTTCAGAGACTGTGAAGTTAACTCCAGTCCTCTGTAGGCCCTCTGACTTATAATTGCCTCAGGGTGTACAGATGTAGAAAAATTATAAATCATGACTTATAACACATTGTCACTGTTGGCCAATGCATGTTCTGTTTTTTTGTTTTATTATCTTTCACTTCATTTGTTAATGTGTTTATTCATTCTCCTTTAAAAAGATTGCAATGAACTCCTTCAAACCCTTCACCCAAGTACAAGAAGGTAACCTACTTCCTCCATCAGTTGATGTGTTTCTTTCCTTTCCCATTCCTGGGCTGCTTCCCATGCACACATCACCACTGTATTTTGGATTTGTTATTCCAATGATTATTCTGTAGGAAGATTTGGGAGGGAGAGTGTTTTGGTTTTGGCTTTTTGTTTATAGGCTATTCAGATATTGTTTTTTCCTGTGTCTCATTTTGGTAATTTGAGTCATTCGAAGGATTTGTCTGCTTTAATTTGTTTCCTTATTACTTTTCAAGATTGTTTTATCTTATAGTGGTAAGTATTATGTTGTGTATATTTTGCCACAATAAAAAAGTCATAAAAATAAATTTAAGATACACACATAGTATTTCATTGTATGTGTGTGTATTTTGCTCTTTGTTTGAGCATGATAAAAGGCGTATCATATTTTGTATTGCCTTATGGGATTTTCACTCTTTATCAACAGTATGTCAAAAGATTAATGAGGCGTGTAACTGTAGTTCACTAATTTTTTTCTGCTATATCCAGTTGCCAGAATATAACACGTTGTATTTATCCATTTTCAGGGATAGTTTGAAAATGTTTGTTTACAGTGTTTTGTTCTTGAAAACGTTGCTGACATGAAACTTCATGTACACACACCCTCATGTACATGTATAGGAGTTTCTCTTAGTAAGGTTCCTGGGACTGGAATTTTTGGACTATAAGGTAAGCAAAAGAAGAACTTTACTGAGTGTGGCTCTGTTGTTTTCTAAAATGGTCATACCTGTTTACACTTCCTTGGATTGCCCCAACAAGTCTATGGATCCATATCCTCTCCAATACTTGATATCATCAGGTTAAGTTTTTTTAATCTGGTAGGTATAAAATAGTATCTCATTATAGACTTACTTTGCTTTTCCCTCATTACCAAGAACGTTGGCTACTTTTTCTTATGTTGATCAGCCAATGTGTATCTTCTGCAAATGTCAGTTCACAGTATTATGTTCATTTTTTATTTTGGGAAGTGAAGTTCCCAGCCATAATCCTGGGTTTATTTCTCTTTCATCTCATTACAGTTCCTATATTTTGAGGCTGTAGTGTTTGGTGCATAAAGATTTAGAATAGTTATGTCTTGGCCCAGTGCAGTGGCTCACACCTGTGATCCCAGCACTCTGGGAGGCTGAGGCAGGTAGATTGCCTAAGCTTACAGGTTTGAGAATAGCCTGAGTAAGAGTGAGACCCCATCTCTAAAAATAGTCAGGTGTTGTGGCAGGCACCTGTAGTCCCAACTACCCCGGAGGCTGAGACAAGAGAATCATTTAAGCCCAAGAGTTTGAAGTTGTTGTGCACTACGATGCCACAGCACTCTACCAGGGGTGACAAAGTGAGACTCTGTCTCCAAAAAAAAAGAATAGTTATGTCTTCCTGGTGAATTGGTCTTTTTATCATTATTAATGCCCTTCTTTGGTCTGTAGTTTGCTATCTGTTGTTAATACTACCACTTTGTTTGCCTTTTTGCTTCTTAGTCAAATTGATGAGTCTTATCTTTTATGATCAATGCTTTTATATCTCCTTTAGGAAATCTTTCTCAAAATATATTCATTTGTGGGCAGCACCTGTGACTCAAAGGAGTAGGGCACCAGCTCCATATGCTACAGGTGGTGGGTTCAAACCCAGCCCCGCCCAAAAACTACAAAAAAAAAAAGAAAAAGAAAATATATACTCATTTTTATTATCTATTAACTATAGATAATAAATGTTTAGCCTCTGACATTTAAATCATAATCAATCTGAACTGGATTCTGCATGTGGTATGAGGTAGGGATGCAACTTCATTTCTTCCCCATGTAGCAAATAATTTTTCTAGGCCTGTTTATTATTATTTCCCACTAGCCTTCCCTGCTACTTCTATCCTATATCAAAGTTCTGTGTATTCACTTCTAAACTCTCTCATTTTTTCCTTTGACCATTTATCTTATCTCTATGCATATGTCACACAGTCTCTATATAAATTCTACTGTTAGGTTGCAGAATAATCCATGAAAAACCCTATTGGGACTTTAGCTGATTTTGTATTGAATTTATAGATGAATTGGGAGAGAACTGACAACTCTGTATTATTAATCTCTTTTTTCATATAGATCTTCTTTAGTGTGTTAAGTTTTATACTTTTCTTCATCTAGATGTTATCTATTTTGGGTCTGTTCACCAAGTTTTCATTCAGTCCTAGAAGGCTCAGTACGTAAATCCAGTTGCTTCCTCCCCTCCCTCCCTTCTACATAGGCTAAAATCCCGAGGTTGTTTCTTCTCTGTCCCTGCCTGCCTTTCCATTCTCATCTCCTCTGTCATCTCATCCTGTTCACTCTGCTTGGCATTTACCATTCTTACAAGTCTCTAAACCTTTGTAATTTTTGTCTTTATCTTTAGTTTTTTTCCTAATTTCTCTGGCAATTGCTACTCTCTTTTAGAAACAAACTCATGTTGGCCAGGAATGGTAACTCACACCTTTAATCCCAGCATTTGGGGAGGTTGAGGTAGGAGGATCGCTTGAGGCTAGGAGTTCAAGACCAGCCTGGGCAACAAAGGAAGACTCCACATCTATAAAAAATTAGCCAGGTGTGGTGGTATGCACCCGTAGTCCCAGCTACTCTGTAGTACGAGGCAAGAAGATCCCTCAAGCCCAGGAGTTCAAGGCCACAGTGAGCTATAGTTGTGCCGCTGCATTCCAACCTGAGATCCTGTCTCTACTAAAGAAAGAAAAAGGGGGAGAGAGAGGTAGGGAAGAAAAGAGAGAGGAGGGGAAGGAGAGAGAGAGAAAGAGAGAAAAAGAAGCTCACATGGTACCTTTTCTGGGTAGCCACCACTGATGTCTCTCTGTCTCCTGTCTGTGCCAAGTTGGGTCACCTTCCCTGTGTTATAACACTTGAGACTGCCTCTCTTAGAGCACATCCTTTGAACACATTATATGGTTACTCTGCCTACCTTCTCCCATTTGGGAGAATAAGGAGGAGTCTGCACTCCAGATTCTCTGTCCCTTGCCCCAGCTCTTCCTCCTGGGTTTCCTTTTAAAGATGTCAAGAGTTCAAGGATTAGGAAAGATAAATTTCAAACCTGGGTTTAAGAGATGTAAAAGTGCAGTGAGCATCAGAGGCACTGTCCTCCTCTTCATCCTTCTACTAAAGTACTGATTTTGTGTGTTCTGGGTTGACATCACTAATAGACACTTTCTTATATTGGATTTCCTTCAGGTGAGAAACAAAAGCCCAAGACCACAGAGCCTACCGCTTCACCACCAACCCTGGCCTTCTCCAAGGAATCCTCTCACCAGGGACAACTGGTACAGAGATCCTTAAGGGATTCCAGGTTGGGGCCAGCTAGAGATGAGGAAAGGCTCTCAGACATGCAGGAAGGGAACTTGAGGCCAGGATCAGACCCCCACAAAGAGATGTGTCCTGGGAAGTGGAACCATCGACATGGTGATGTGGAGACATGTAATAGTCTGGGCTTAAGGGTGTTACAGGAGCAAGTCAGTCCTCAAGATGCTCTCCATGAACATGATTCTCAAGGACCAGGAAAAGGCCCCATGGTTGATACAGGAAATAACCTTTACAAATGCAAGGACTGTGGAAAAGTGTTTAGCAAGAATTGGGCCCTTGTTCGACATCAACAGATTCATGCTGGAGTGAAGCCCTATGCATGCAGTGAGTGTGGGAAAGCCTGTCGTCATATGGCTGACTTCATTCGACATATGAGGTTTCATTCTGGGGAAAAACCGTACAAGTGTACTGAGTGTGGGAAAGCCTTCAAGCGCAGGTCTCACCTCACAGAGCACCAGCGTGTTCACACTGGAGATAAGCCCTACAAGTGCAAAGAATGCGGCAAAGCTTTCACCCACCGCTCTTCTTTCATCCAGCATAGTATGACTCACAGTAGAGAAAAGCCCTTTTTATGCAAAGAATGTGGGAAAACTTTTTACTACAGCTCTTCATTTGCTCAACACATGAGGATTCATACTGGCAAGAAACTCTACGAGTGCAGTGAATGTGGAAAGGCCTTTACTCACCGATCCACTTTTACCCAGCATAACATGGCCCATACAGGAGAAAAACCCTTTTTGTGTAAAGAATGTGGAAAAGCTTTTTGCCTCAACTCGTCCTTCACTCAACACATGAGGATTCACACTGGAGAGAAACCCTACAAGTGCAGTGACTGTGGAAAGGCCTTTACTCACCGCTCCACTTTTATCCGGCACAAGAGGACCCATACTGGAGAGAAGCCCTTCAAATGCAAAGAATGTGGGAAGGCCTTTTGTGACAGCTCTTCCTTAATTCAACACATGAGGATCCACACTGGTGAGAAGCCCTACGAGTGCAGTGCATGTGGAAAGGCCTTTACACACTACTCTGTTTTTATCCGACATAATAGGACCCATAGTGGAGACAAACCCTGGGAGTGCAAAGAATGTGCAAAAGCCTTTTACTATAGTTCTTCCTTCACTCGACACATGAGGATCCACACTGGAGAAAAGCCCTACGTCTGCAGAGAATGTGGAAAGGCCTTTACCCAACTTGCAAATTTTGTTCGGCATAATAGGATCCATACTGGAGAGAAACCCTTTGAGTGCAAAGAATGTGACAAGGCCTTTTGTGACAACTTTGCCTTAACACAGCACATGAGAACTCACACTGGAGAGAAACCCTTTGAATGCAGTGAATGTGGAAAGACCTTCAGCCACAGTTCATCCTTTACTCACCACCGGAAGATTCATACCAGAGTTTAAAAGACAGTACATGTAAGAAGGCCTTTTAAAAGTGTGTTTACCTCGGTCAACTTCAGTGAACTCATACTGGTGAAATACCTTTCCCTCTGAACATAATTATTGAGGAAAGTCTTTTGGCCAGAAAAATTGCTTACTCAGTATCTGAGAATTCATACTAAAGAGAGACATTATAATTATCGTCCCTGTGAAAGCTTTTTATGGCAGGTCATCACTTGTCATTCCAAGAATTATGTTAGAATTTGACCCATATAGAGTCTTCCACTATACCTGGGAATCATCCAAAAGAGAGGCTCACTGGTTGTTGTGCATTTAGGTAAATGTCAGCAACGACCTTCCTTTTAATTTTACTATAAATCCATCTCAAGAGTATTTTAAAAGAATGAGGAGAGATGAAGAAGAGACTTAGAGGGGAAAGGAGAAATAAGTGTGTGCATGGTTTCTTTTCACTTTCCCTATACAATTTATGACAGGTTGTCATTTGGAGGGGTCCAGGATGGGGGCTGGGATGGGCCTCATCCCCTTTATGTGGTTTGTTTGTTTACTGAGACAAAGTGGCAGTGGCAAAATCTAGCTCACTACAACCTCCAACTCTGGGCTCAACCTGTCTCAGCCTCTGGGACTACAGCATGCACCACAGGTCTCAGCTGTTTTTTCTATTTTTAGTAGAGATGGGGTCTCACTCTTGCTCAGGCTGGCCTCAAACTCCTGACCTCAAATGATCCTCCTGCCCTGGCCTCCCAAAGTGCTGAGATTACAGGTGTGAGCTACCATGACCAGCCTCCTTTATGTGTTTTTCTATTCTTTTTTTTTTTGCAGTTTTTGGCCAGGGCTAGGTTTGAACCCACCACCCCTCTGGCATATGGGGCTGGCGCCTTAGTCCTTTGAGGCACAGGTGCTGCCCTATGTGTTTTTCTATATATATATATGTCCAGAATCAGGAAAGAGCCATTGGTGGCAGCTCTTACAACATTTATTAAAAGTAATTTTTGTTCCAAAACATTGTTGTCTCTACTCTTGAGGTAACATAAGTCTGTGCAAAATAAAAAGATTTGAGTCATGAAATACTTTAAATCAGGGTTAGGTTCTGTGAGCCTCTGGTCCAAACATTTTCATCAACCAATTAATACATAACTTTCTTTTATGGCTGTGATTTTTTTTCTGTTTAAAGACACTTTAATATATCTTTCTTTCAAACTTACTGTTCTTTATAATAAAAATATTTTTTAATTATTTTTTATTAAGTCATAACTTTGTACATTGATGCATTTATGGGGTTCAGGGTACTGCTTTGATATACAATATGAAACATTTACATTGAACTAAGTAACACATCCATCACAATAATACACATTTCTTAATAGTTTTGGAATGTACCACTGCATCATGCGCATTAGGTGAGGTCCCCCAAATACCCTCCCTCCTCCCAATTAAAAATATTTTAAATACAGCATTTTTGTGTAACGTACTCTATTGTTACTATGCTGCTTTAACTCTCCCTCGATATGCACACAGAGCTCACGTACAGTGAACGCTCTGCGGTACTCATATATGGTAAACACATATTCTGTGCAGTACTGCAGCCATGCACATAAAGATAGTCCTGGGGAAAACCACTGAAGTTTAAAATTCTGCTTTTGATGGTGCTACAAGATATCTGATATCTGATAGTGCACTATGTGATTAAACTTCTTAACTTTGTTCCCAAAAAGACAAAGGAGAGGTGGATGAACTTACTCTGCAGCAGAGGGAAACATTTACCAGGCTAGTGCAAGAGCACCGGGCAGCTCTACCACAGGAGTCTGATCCTCACCACTGGGGTGACAGTGTCAGCAATTTTCCTTCCTGAACTGGCTTGAAAAATCGTGTAAGCCTTGTCTATTGGGCTTTTAACCTGAAAATTTTAATTGTCCCAGCATAAGGGACACCTTAACTCAGTGGAGGTTAAAGAATGGAATTTTGTCTTGGAAAAAATTTCAAAAACATTACATGGGTACAAAAGTTTTTCGTTCCATGGATTGCTTTGTAGTGTTTAAGTCAGGGCTTGTAAACAGTAATTGCCCAGTGTCCAAATACTGTTCAGTGTACCCATTAGGTAGCCTTTCACTTCATCCCTCCTCCTTGCCTGATTTCCACTGAGTTTTACTTTTATCTGTGCACGTGTATGCATATCAGTTTGGTCCAATTTAATAGCAATCAGATGTGGTGTTTGTTTTCCATTCATTAAGTACTTAGAGTAATGGTCTCCACTTCCATCCAGTTGAAAGCCTATAGATAGATCACTTCCAATTGAGGGTTAAATGGTAATCCTTCAAGGCATAGCTAAATGGATTTTAAAATAAGGACATTTTCTTTGCACTTGCAAAATGACTTTGCAGGTCTGAAAGCCTGTGCTGGAGCTGTGGTTTGAGCATGGGAAATACATCAAGTGCAAATATGTATTCAGTGAAGCTCTCACTTCTTGTCAGCATAGGAAATGCATACAGCTGCTTCTTATTATTCTGATTGAAAGAAAGTTAGCTTTTGTTGAAAAGACTTTACTGTAGTTTAAGCTTTGCATATAAATTTTGCTTTGCCTTGTAACTTAAGGTTTAATTCATGAGGAGACATCAAGTCTGAAGCAAAGGCTAATTACCAGATGTATTCAGTGTTAGTGATGGTGGTTGAAGGCAGTTCTTCTCATTGAAAAAAGTTTTATTCCTGGCCTTGAGTTTTAAAAATCACAATAAACTTTACCACTACTAAGCAACTGAACTGCTGTGTGGTTGGGCAACTCTGAAATTCACTTCCTGTTTCTGTCCAAATGCAAGGAACTGACAATGGTAAGTCCATGTGAATGAATAGCTCACTAACATGTGATAGATTCAAATATTTTCCACAAAGTACCTGCTGTGATAATATATTCCATGAGAAATTTTCTAATTTCTCTGACCATTACTTTTCTGTGAATAGTGAGGAGTGCTTCATCTGCTAATATTGGTTTATCCTTTTTATCACAGCTATGATGTCATTACATACTGAACACAAGGTTCTGCCATCTAATTAAATAGTAGATACCATGAGCTCTGCTCTGTTTTAAAAGTGTGGCATTTGAAGTCTCCTGTTCTCTGTTCATATTTTGACATGATGAATACACACTGAAAAAAAATTAAATACAGGGCGGTGCCTGTGGCTCAGTGAGTAGGGTGCCAGCACCATATACCAAGGGTGGCAGGTTCAAACCTGGCCCCAGTCAAACTGCAACAAAAAATAGCGAGGCATTGTGGTGGGCGCCTGCAGTCCCAGCTACTCGGGAGCCTGAAGGAAGAGAATCGCCTAAGCCCAAGAGCTGGAGGTTGCTGTGAGCTATGATGCCACGGGGCAACAGACTGAGATTCTGTCTCAAAAAAAGAAAAAATACAGTGCCAAGGTATGGACATACAGTGTCACTTAGCTGGCTTTCAACTTAGGACTGCGAGGCTGTGATGTTTGTGTGCAGGCAGACACAGTGAGAGTGCCTCAGGCTCCCTCTGTCACAACTGACTAGCAGCCATAGACAATAAATAGTATATAAAGGAGAGTGTGGCTACGTTCTAATAAAATGTTTTTTATGAAGACCATTTAAATTTCAAGTAAGTTTCATGTGTCATGAACTATTATTCATCTTTCGATTTTTCAACCATTTAAAGAGTAAAAACTGTACAGGTGAGGTGGATCACACCTATAATCATGGCACTCTGGGAGGCCCAGGTGGAAGGATCAATTGAGCTCAGGAGTTGGAGACCAGCCTAAAAAAGAGTGAGACCCCATCTCTACTAAAAATTAGTAGGGTGTTTTGGCAGGTGCCTGTAGTCCTAGCGCCATGTAGGAGGAGGCTGAGGCAAAAGGATGGCTTCAGCCTGAGAGTTTGAGGTTGCTGTGACCGATGACACGATGGCACTCTACTTACACAGGGTGATGGAGTGAGATTCTTATCTCAAAAAAATTAAATAAAGTGTAAAAAGTGAGTCAGACGTGATGGTTCACCCCGGTAATCCTAGCACTCTGGAGGCTGAGGTGGGTGGATTGCTTGAGTGAGACTCTGTCTTGAAAAAAGTATAAAAACCATTTAAAGTCAATGGGCTATACAAAAGGAGATGGATGTGGCTACAGGTTGTAGTTTGCCGGTGCCTGAAAACTTATTACAGTTGACGGTCAGTAAGACTACACTACTTCATGTAAATCATAAGAATATAACAACAGTGTATTTTTTGGTTTATTGCCACCCACTCTCAGTGCCATTAGTGACATTTTACTTCACAGCAACAACCCCACAATAAATGGTTATCATTTTTAGATAGTTAGCAGTCTTTTAAAGAAATTACTAAGAAACAAAATCTTCATCATTCCCCATTCAGTTACTGTGTCTGGTGCTCTCTATTCTTTGGGCTTTCCTTTGACATTTCAGGGGTCATTTTTGTTCTCGTTAGGAAAATTATATGTTCTATAATGAAAGTCTGCTGGTGCTAAACTTTTTCAGTCTTTGTATATTTGAAATTGTCTATTTCACTTTTGTTTTTGAAACGTACTTTCCAGTTTGATATTTTTAACACTTCATATTCTTAATGTATCTTATGGTTTGCAGTTTTGCCAACATGAAATCTGTTGTCATACTTGCCGTTTTTCCCTTGTACATGAAATAATTTTCCACACCCTCCCTAATCCTGATTGTATCTGAGATTTTCAGCTTATCACTGTATTGAGCAGTTTATGATGTGCTTGGTTGAAATTTTCTCATGCCTGGCATTCATGAATTTCTTTGATCTGTGGGCTTACAGTTTTCAATAATTCAGGAATATTTCAACCTGTTTTTCTGTCCCTGTATACCTCTCTTTCAAGGCCTTCCAATTATATGTGTACTAGTCCCTTTGAAGTCATCTCACAATTTTTTTTTTTTTTTAGTTTTTTCTTCTGAGTTTCATTTTGGATAATTTTTGGGGGGGGATGGGGAAGACGGAGTCTCACTTTGTCATCTTCGGTAGAGTGCTGTGGCTTCACAGCTCACAGCAACCTCAAACTATTTGGCTTAAGTGATTCTCTTGTCTCAGCCTCCCAGGTAGCTGGGACTACAAGTACCCACCAGAATGCCCGGCTATTTTTCTGTTGTAGTTGTTATTTGGCAGGCCCAGGCCGGGTTAGAACCCGGCAGCCCCAGTATATGTAGCTGGCGCCCTAGCTGCTGAGCTACGGGCAGCAAGTCCATGTTAGATAATTTCTACTGCTATATCTTCCAGAGTCCTAATCTTTTCTTCTGCAATGTCTAATATGACCTTAGTCTCATTCAGTGTATTTTATGTAAGAATTTATAGTTTTTATCTATTTTAATTATGTTAGGGTCTTTCTTGTGTCTTTCATGTCTCTGCTAAACATGTTCAGTCTTTTTTCAAGCTTCTTGGACACATGCAATTCTGAGCTTGTCTTGGGTAACTGTTTTTTTTTTTTTTCATATTTTGGGTGATATTTTCCTGTTTCTGTGTATCCCTGTTTATTTTTTATTAAGTGTCAGACATTGTGGTTTGGAAATAGTTTTGTATTCCATTGTGGCTTGTATATATTTTTGAGCTTTGTTATAGGGTTATAGCTTTCAGGGTCTTGCATTTAAGCTTTACTAGGGAAAACCAGAGAAATCTTAATTTAGGACTAATTTCCTCTATTGCTATGATAAAATCCTTCTGGGGACTTTGAGTGATGCCATATGGAATTAAGAGGTTTTTCTGCATTGGTAGAAAACGCAGTATTTTGGAGCATTTGCTTAGCAGAGAAGAGGATGGACAGAGAATGGGAGAAAAGAAAGTTACTGCCAACCGTATGTAGGTGGTGGCCAGTCTACCCATAAGTACAACTGATTGATACCATTCTATGCCTCCTTAGAGATCTCTCAAAGAACCTTCAACACTCCATAAAACTTCAAAATAAATCTCATGACTGAAAATAAAGATAAATCCTTACTCATATTAAAAAGTCACCACCCTATCCCAAACCCACGATCTCTACTGACAATTGCTATTGGAATATGCCCCCATGCTTTGGCTTTCAGTTAAGGAGCAGGAGTATCAGAGAAGAGGATCTTGTCTAAAGGCACAAATCTTATCACTCATTCCACACAAGAATCATTATATCAATAATATTCCTTTTTAAGATAACATATTTACAACCCTCAACTATCATAAAGAACAAAATCTGAGGGTGGCACCTGTGGCTCAAAGGAGTAGGGCGCCAGCCCCATATGCCGGAGGTGGTGGGTTCAAACCCAGCCCTGGCCAAAAACTGCAAAAAA